GTCAAAAAGCTATCCACACTTGGCAGTGCGGGCTTTGGTGAACCCAGCGCAGAAAGAGCCTGAGAAAGATGACAACGTCGATTATGTTGTTCCTGTGAAGATGACATATCCCAATTTCCGTAAGACAGAGACCCAGTCTGATGCTTCTTGGATGATTCGGCCTGGATTGAATGGCCGACCCGGGTGTGTGAGCTTTCAAGGCTGCAGCCTACAAACTCAAACTCATTTCTTGTGCTTGTCTACTGTCAACGGCTCGTATGGCGACGTGACTATTGAGATCATTGATGGTACTCCTCCTTTCTATGACGCTGCCTCGTGGCTTCTGGATGTGGTGCAACCACCTCCCAGCTCCGTGCAGGAGTTGCCGGTGGAAGTCCAACGCCAGATGGGGAGCGTTCGAACCGGTGAGGAAGCATCGAAGATTGGTTCCAATGAGCCGTTGAATCCGCCTTCGAACCAGGACCCACTTCCATCCGGTCCATCCGGAGATCCGCCGGTAGAGTTTCCCTTTAATGGACCCGGTTTAAAACTACAAGACTCTCGTTTGACGGCTGGCAGTCTGGTGCGTTTACGACCGGCTGACTCTCCAGATGAGTACTTGAGATATGACGAGAAGACTTGGGTGGCGAATGTGGGCGGATACACCAACCAGGTGCCCAGCACTGAAGACTCAATCTTCTACGTGGTGCCTGGGTGTGCGCAAAGAAAGCCTAACGACAGCTTCGTTCTCATCCCCAAGAGCTGGACGAGCACTGCCCTTCGACCCATGGAGACTGACCAATCGATCCGGTTGACCAAGGCCAAGGGGATCGGGCTAAGCACCACTTGGATCCTTAGACCAGGCATGAATGGCAAGAAGGACTCTGTGAGCTTTCAGCATCTCGATGCAGATTCTTTCATTTGGCACCGAAAGTCCGAAGTGCAACTTGCACAGATCGATGGGACTCCATGCTTCTACGACCGGGCTTCCTGGATGGTGGACGTGGTGAAAAAGCCTCCAGCCAATCTGAAAGACTTGCCACCGGAGGTTTACGAGAACATGGCGACTCTGCAATGCTGCGAAATTCTCTGAGCTGCTATGAGCTAGTGTTCGCTTTTGAGTCTTGTGAGTTTCATTTGATGTGTCACCATGGAAAAGAAGAGAGAGAGAGAGAGAGAGTACCACAGGCGCAAAGGATCCATCCCATTTCTGAGATTTGGGGGACTTGGAGATGCCTTTAACAGTCAGTTCAAACATTTGGTTGCACCTCAAGTGGGATTTTGTAATACAGCGCTACTTGGAAAAGCGAGCATCAGTCCGATGGCAATGCTGGTGTGCGTAGATTATACTCGGGGGAGCTAGAGGACACTGGCATTACACAAAAAGGTGGACAAGCAGCGCCGTCGCTGTAATGTGGCGTTAAACCACGATGCTTTCACAGTGGCTTGCCAATTGACTCCTACCCAACCAGGCTGTGGCTAGGACAGTGCCACTGGGATGGTGAGCGCCTTCCGCGCCGGAACGTGGTGACAGAATCGGTGAGGGAGGGTTGGCTGGGCACCGTATCCACAGCGTGATCTGGGATGATTGTAAACCATAGTTCACCAGATAGTCTACTAACTTTTGACATTCAATGGGCCTTGGAAACCAGTCTAACCAATCCCACCGGTCCAGCTGGTCGCCAAGGCTTCCAACGGCGTCAAGTGCTGCGCGCGGGCTACCCGAAGGGTCGCACAGAGGTGGAGGGGCCTGTGGACTCGATCGTTGTCATGGGCCAAAGTGGGAGATCTCCCAAACTCCTCAAGCTGAGCTCGATTTCCAACTTGCTGCCATTGCCAGGTTGAAAGGGAGGCCATCTCAAGTTCAAACTTTTGTGGCGGGGATGAAATCAAAGAACAATCTCAAGCAGGTTTGATCTACAAGTCGCTTCTCATCGGCAAACAGTCCGCAACCTATCCAAGTCTCTCAGTGAACACTCCGAAAGTTGAAAGGTAGAAGACCAACGTTTCATGCTGAAGAAGGATCCAATCTCCTCTCAAGTTAAACTCTCGGCCAGGTGGCAGAGGAAGCAAACCGCTTCAACATGCGCTATGCCTTGGCGCAGGCGATCCACAGTCCAGAGAATGGTTCGCCCGATGGACACATGGTAAATTGCACAAGTTTCATGGCACAGCTGCAAACTCCTAAATTCCACCTCCAAAAGTCTATAGCCAAGCCGGGTCAAATTTCCATGTCACGCAGATAGAAGGTTTCCAGAACACAAAGAACTGATTGCAAAGAATGCTTTTAAGACACAAACAACAATTAAAGAAGGTGCCCGAAACAAACCAATCGTTTTCATCCCATGATTTTATGTTTTTTCTTTCCATTTTCATCCCATGAGACGAAAAGCATTTTCACTCCTGGCATCGCTACTAGGAGCAAGGGACGCTACTAGGGGCTCCTGGCCTTACTACTAGGAGCAAGAAGCTTCTAGGGGCTCCTGGCATCGCTACTAGG